ATATATATATATATATATATATATATATATATATATATATATATATATATATATATATATATATATATATATATAAATATACAAATTAACCAGATAGCCAACTATTTATGGGAATTCTTTATGAACTTCTATTCATCTCTGAGCTATCTGAGTCAACATTTTCTCAATCCATCTTTGAACATCATCCTATTAACTGGATAATTGCAACAATGCAATGCTTGTGAGTAAGAAATGATAGGACAAGTTTTATAAGGCTTATTCGTAGGAGTCAAATGCTTGAGATACAAACATGTAAAAAATAAATAACAATGTGTATAAATACTAATCTGTTGGTTACATAAACCACATTTGATATAAATGAATATTAGGTAAATATCTCACATTCTTTGCTTATCGAACAGCTGACTAAAAATGACATCTCAAAAACGTATTATTGACATTTTTAAATGACGTTATTATCACGTCAAAATAATCACGTCTTTTAAATATCAGTTATTAGTTACATGACGTTTAAGACTGATAATCACCATTTATCGACATGAAAATGACGTGACGTTGCTGTCTGGGATACTAGAGTTTCAAACTTTGCCTGGGGTCTCGGAGACCCCAGTGTGTATATCTAGGGTTAATTTTGTAATTGTATTGAGAGAAAAGGCATTATAAATATACAAGTATTTTTAAATAATCAATATATGTTCGCTTTTAATATAATAGCATTGTTATGTGTAATTGTGCATGCACTTTTATTTAGTTACAAGTAACGCAAATGAGATGTAGATTTCTAACTTCTTATTTTTAATTGGAATATAAATAATTAGGATGTGTACATATTTATATCCACATATAAAATAGATTATTAAATTATAAATATTTTATTGGACTTTTTGTGATAACAGATATATGTCCAGTATATGTGTCTTATTGAACAATATGATCTTACGTAGGATTTGATATTACATGAAATTGATCTCTCTCTCTTTCTTTCTCTTTGAAAATAATCTTAAACCCCAGTTCAATTGCCCAATCGAAATCATATATATGAAATTGATAAATGCTATTGAAGTTTTTGTAACAATACAACGTTACAGGAGAAGAAATAAATATAAATATTAAAAGAAAGTAGTTTTCCTCATAAACACATTTCAATAAAATTAAGTGCGACAAAAATGTTTTATTATATATTATAGATTTTGAGATGGAAATTATTGTGAAAATAAATAAGACAGACATTTTGTACAATGAGTAATAATTAATCTTATTAATTTTTAGGGGAAGAGATATATATATAAATATTAAAAGAAAGTAGTTTTCCTCATAAACACATTTCAATAAGATTAAAGGCGACAAAAATGTTTTATTATACATTATAGATTTTGAAATGGAAATTATTGTGAAAATAAATAAGACAGACATTTTGTACAATAAATAATAATTAATTTTATTAATTTTTTGCGTAAAATATTAGAAAAATAGCATGTATCTTCCGTAACATTACTTAACTGGTCAGAAAAAAGATTGAGATAAAATTCTGAGATGACCCTGATGGAAATAATTTTTTGAAAATATAATGAATTTTTGCTGAAATGTTTTTGGAAAACATTTACAATTGACCTAATTTCATTAAAATTTTATTATAATTTCATTAAAATATTTCAGCAATATTTTAGTACGAATTCAGGAAAATTCAGTAAAAAATCATTATTAATAAAAATTGAAGAAAGAAAGAAAAATTGATTGAAGAAAGTTAATGAAACATGATAATATACGAGATGTCTTTTTAAAAACCCAGGTAAAAATCTTGAAAAATATGGAAAATACGGAAAAATATTTCAGAAGTTATATAGTTTGATGGGGGACATAAGACGCGGGGTATCGATGATTTGACCTTACGTGGCGCCGTCAAGATCAGGTTGAGGTCAATTTTGCTTAAAAAAAAAATTTTTTTATTAGGAAATTTTATTTTACGTAAAGAAACAAACAACTTTTATTTGAAACAAATTTTTATACGGTTTCTATTTTCTAAGATATTTACAGAAATATCTACAAAATTACTGGTTTGAATAATTTTTTACTCGAATTCTATCAACATTATCGAAAAATAGCAAGAGATAAAAATTATCTATTTTCTTCCCATAGAGCTCTGAAAATTTTTCCAGAATGTTTTAATTAACTTTTTAATACTACATGTTATGCATTTTCTTGAAATATTAAAAAATTAATTTAAAATTTCTGGAAAATTTCTCAGAGCTCTGAGAAGAAAATAAACAATTTTTATCTCTTGCTATTTTTGGTAAAGTTGATAGAATTCGAGTTAAAAATTATTAAAACCAATAATTTTGTAGATATAAGGTGTAGTAAAAAGAAATCCATTATTTTTGCATGAATTTGAAGGCTTTATTTAGCATAGTTAGAATGGTCCGAGTTAGGTCAAATATGCACCGTTTTGTTCGATAACTTGTTGCCATTTTGAAGGTAATTCCATTATGCCTCTCTCATAGAAACTCTTGTCCCTATTGGCAAAAAACTGGGACAGTCGATTTTCACAAGCTTCTCTTGAGGCGAATTTTTCACCAGCAAAATCATTCGCCATAGACAGGAACAGGTGGTAATCACTTGGTGCCAGGTCCGAACTATAAGGTGGATGCATAAGAACCTCCCAACCAAGCTCCCGGAGCTTCTGGCGAGTCACTATCGATGTGTGTGGCCTGGTGTTGTCCTGATGGAACACAATTCCTCTTCTATTGGCCAAAGCTGGCCGCTTCTGGGCGATTGATTCCTTCAGACGTCCAATTGTTGACAGTACAGGTCTGAATTAAGAGTTTGGCCGTAAAGGAGCAGCTCATAGTGGATGATTCCCTGCCAATCCCACCAAACACACAGCAAAGCCTTCCTGACCGTGAATCCTGGCTTGGCCACCGTTTGCGCCGGCTCACCGCGTTTCGACCACGACCGTTTTCGCTTGACGTTGTCGTAAGTGACCCACTTTTCATCACCAGTCACCATCCGCTGCAGAAATGGGTCGATTTTGTTGCGATTCAGCAGCGATTCGCAGATGGAAATTCGGTCCATGAGGTTTTTTTGCGTTAACTCGTGTGGCACCCATACATCGAGCTTCTTTTTGTATCCAGCCTTATTCAAGTGGTTCCAAACGGTTTGTGCAATGTTTATCTCCTGGGAAATCGAAACAGTGCTTACATGACGGTCGAACTCGACGATTTCCATTATTTTATCGACATTTTTGACAATTGGCCTTCCAGAGCGTGGTGCATCTTTGACATCAAAATTACCGGAATGGAATCGGCGAAACTAAAATTGCGCGTGATTGGCTGTTACGGTATCAGGACCATAAACATTATTCACATTTTCAGCTGCCTGGCTTGTGTTTTCGCCTTTATCGAAGAAAAACTGTAAAATATGGCGTATTTTCTCTTTGCTGGTATCCATCTTTGACGCGCGCTCAAACAATATTGAGTCAAACAATCACAAAACTATCTGAGAAGTTTTTTTAGTACGAAATCTTATCTTTCTAACGCCATCTAGCGTAAACCGATCGCACTTATACAACGGGAGATACACATTACTAAAACCATCTATTGGAAAAATAATGGATTTCTTTTTACTACACCTTATATTTCCGTAAATATCTTAGAAAATAGAAATCGTATAAACATTTTTTTCAAATGAAAGTTTGTTTTTTTACGTAGAATAAAATTTCGTAATAAAAAATATATGTTTCTGTTTAAAAAAGCGAAGTTGATCTCGACCTGACCTTGGCGGCGCTATGCAAGGTCAAATCATTGGTCAATATCGCCTTATGTTCCCTATCGAACCATATAACTTTTGTCTGAAATATTTTTCCGTATCTTCCATATTTTTTGAGATTTTTGCCTGGGGTTTTAAAACGGGACCCTTGTATATTTAGTGTTTTCAACGCTAATAATATATATATTTTTTTTTGTTAAATTTCAACGATTTATTAGCATGTTTCAGATAATTGATAATGTATGATTATGTTGTCTAAATAATAAAAAAACAACTGGCACTTCATATTTATAAGGGGAACCCGGCAGTCTCTGATTACCGATTTTAATAAAACATTATGGGTGTGTAGTATTCACACATACATTAATTACAGTAAAGCCGCAGAACTCACTATTCAGCCATTCTCGAGAAAATGGCAATAAAAAAAATAAGAATATTTCCAGTACGTATAAGTATCGTTACAGAAGAACAATTTCGAGTTGGCGGCGTAGCGTTTCTGGTAAGACGTTGATTACTACGCTCAGGGTTCCAGGTTCGATCCCCGAGGACGAGATTTTTTTTCATTTAAATTTTATATTTTCAAATTGTTATATACAATTTTTTAATCGTTTTTAATTATTTCATATAAAATCTGTTATTTTTTTAAATCCAGGAAATTAAAGAATTCAAGGAATTTAAAAATGTTCTTTTATTATTAATCAAATTAAAATTTCTCATGAATACAAAAAATTACAATAACAATTTACAATGACTGTTTTAAGAACGTCGTATAAATCGTTATACCCATAATGGTCCCCACGTAAAACGGTTTTGTTCTTTTGTTCGAGACTTTAGCAGGTATACAAAATTTTTCGTCTAACGGAAAAACCGGTAGTAGCAACACAGTCGTCCTTCGAGTTAGACGTGCTCCTTGTATTTCGCAAGATATATTTGTGCTCATTTATTTGCAATATGGATATTCCGGGACTATCAACGAGCGCTAGTATAAGAGAAGAAGAGCATCAAGATGTTGATAATAAACTGCTCTTAAAAAGTGCTCTAAACATAAGCGAGAAGTTGCTTGCTGAAAATGATTACATTCCAAAGGAGTTCGTGAAAGAACTTTTATCAGAAAAGGCAATAGTTATGGGCCACAAAATATATAATCGCATGGTCGATATGGTTAATGAGATGCGTCTCGTTGAGGAGGAAGAACTAATGCTTTCATCTGAAGAAAATATTGATAACAGTTTTATTGATTGTGCATCAATATGTGCATCAACAGAAGAATCGTCATCATCACATTCATCCGCACTTTCGGAAGAGTGGATCGATTCTCCAAAGAAAAAAAATTCATATCAATAGATTTAGATTACAAACGGAAAATTGTAACCATGGCGAAAGAACATTCTAATTGGTCGCTACAAACATTACAGAGAAAAGGAACACATTGTTTAAAACATAAAAGCGATTTAAAACAGTACGTATACGATGCTTTTAACACATTTTATTTATTATGTTATATTATGTATTATGTATTAAACATATTATATATACATTAGGTATATGTTATGTATAAAATTCTATTGATTAAATAGTTATAATGCTTTTCTTTTTTTTTTTTATTATTAGATGGGAAAAAGATGTATTATCTGGTGGGACACGATTTGATAAACTGTCTGCCATCAATTCTTGGACACTTGATCGATTTAAAGAAGCTAGAGAAAAATTCGAGCAAGTCACAACAAGAACATTGCAACAATGTGTAATGGCTGCTGCGCAACAATTCCTCTCCAGCACATTTACATTTTCAGCAGGAAAAACATGGGCTGATGATTTTAAACGAAGAAATAATATTCGGCAACGACGGATTACTAAATACGTTACTGAAAAAGAAGTATGAGGAATGGACGAAGTTTTGGCTGCTGCAGATAGATTTAGAAAACAAATTGAACTACTTTTGCAAAATTTTCACCAAGATTTTATAATTAATACAGATCAAACTGGTTGCCAATATCAGTCAACGATTGATCGGACATTAGCATATGAAATCTGTATTTGTTGAAAAGAAGTCTTCATAAAATTTCTCATTTATACACAGCCCAATACGCATTAACTTATTCAGGAAAGCTTGTACCAAAAGTGTTTCTCTGTTTATAAGAAACTGGAGACAAATTTGGTCCAATAATACAAAAACAAGTTGATGTTCTTGTTGAATTTGGAAACGTCATCGTCAAATGTTCTAGATCAGGAAAGGTAATTACAAATGTTTATAAAGACTTCTTAAAAAAAATATTACAGCCATATGTAAAAAATGAAAAGTTTATATTAATAATAGCTTCTTGAGGTGGTCAAACAAATTCACAAATATACGATGAAATTTTTGTAAATGATGAGGATATTCTATCTTGTCAAATAAAAATTATTCCGCCAAAGTGTACTTCTTTATGTCAGCCATGCGACGTATATTTTTATAGACAAGTTAAAAATCTCATCAAAAAATTACAAAATTGTACATATCTCCTTAAAGGCAATAGAGAAATAGCCAATCGTGAGGATGCTATTAAAATACAATCTTTAATTCAAAATCGATTAAGCGTACCAAACTTTTATGACATGTTAAAATATGCATGGTTTGCATCTAAAATAACAAATGAAAGAAGTCTTCTCAAAAACGTTTGTTTTCCAGATTCTATTAATAAAACAAAATGTACAGACTGTGTGTATGAAATGTCAATGATTTTATGTGTATGGTGCAATGAACCATTATGTTTTAATTGTTTTTATGATAAATACTACCCTGAAAGCTGTAAATTTATTGTAAGACAGTCATTGTAAATTGTTATTGCAATTTTTTGTGTTCATGAGAAATAATTTGATTAATAATAAGAGAACATTTTTAAATTCTTTAATTTCCTGAATTAAAAAAAAAAAATAACATTTTATATTAAATAATTAAAAACGATTAAAAAATTGTATATAACAATTTGAAAATATAAAATTTAAATGAAAAAATCTCGTCCTCAGGGATCGAACCTGGAACCCTGAGCGTAGTAATCAATGTCTTACCAGAGACGCTACGCCGCTAACTCGACAATTGTTCTTCCGTAACGTTATTTATACGTACTGGAAATATCCTTATTTTTTTATTGCTATTTTCTCGAGAATGGCTGAATAGTGGGTCCTGCGGCTTTATTGTAATTAATATATGAATACTACACACCCATAAAGTTTTATTAAAATCGGTGATCGGAAACTGCCGGGTTTCTCTTGTTAGTGTCGTCTCACTTATGTGTGAGACTCGCGTGGTTTTGATCCCGTATCAGGCGGTCACCCATTTTTAAATGACCATGTTGTTCAAATATTTAACTTCAACGATCGTACGGGAACTGGTGATGCCAATGTGATGTAACGATATCTTGGTGCATTATACTTACAATATTCTCTTATATCCCCAGATAGAAATGCGTGATGATCATGTTTCATCACAATGAGACTTCATACTATGACTACAATTTCATACCTTTTTAAAGATCATTACGTGATCTCATGACATGAGTACTAGATACACACAAATAATGTACAAATTATGTACATTAGTTGGAAGTTCTTGACATAATGTTGATTATTATTATTAATCACGCTGGCAGAGAAAATCAGCATCAACTGACCAAAAATGGCAAGATAAAAATGCTGTTTGATTTTTATAAAAGTCAGTATTAAAGTACATTTTAAGTCGCTGATTACGAATTTGAGATCAAAACTTTAGAATTTAATTACTTCGCTAGCATTAACGCACTTTTGCATCTAATAAAGAATGTACCAAAAATAGCATTGACGCACTAACGTGCACATCATTTTATTTTTTTTTTTTTTCCGTCAGCAAGATTTTCACCAAACTCAGTGTCCAGGGGTTTTTGGGGTTGCTGATTTCGATTCTGAATCTTAAATTTGAAAATTTAAAATAACGGTTTCAATATGGCGGACCAAAATATGGAAAGTGACTTGATTTTTATGAAATTTGGTATTCGGGAGTTTTTGGAGTCGCTGCTTTCGAATTTTAGCTCAAAATTTCGAAATTCAAGATGGCGGATCCAATATGGCGACCAAAATGCGAAGAGACTTGATTTGGATGAAACTCGGTAAAAATGTAATAACATTTATAGATAAATGTTTCAAAGGACGTAACAACAATTACAATGCGATTAATATTGATACAATGTTATATTAGTAATCAAACTTTAACCTACAATGTGCCCGCAAAAGAGAGAGAATGTTCCTTTGTCCTTTCTCGTAATATTTTGACAGAGAAAGGTTATGGCTCGATTCTTTTTACAGGAATTCTAGTTTTACAATATTGTGATAACGATCTTTGTATGTAGTAAAATATAAATATAAATATTAAATATAAATATTATTTAAGTTTTCATATAAATATTTTATATGAAAACTTAAAATCTCACATTTGTTTATAAAAATATTGCACAACTGAAATGTGATGCAAACATTAGACTTACATTATTTAGGGGACAACATTACAAATTTGAATAGATTATATCTCACACAGCACCGACATATTTCAGAAAGCTTTCAAAAAGCTTTCAATGAAATATAAAACATTTTAAAGAAATATTTCAGACATGTTTTAGATATTTTTCAGATACATAAAATGTCCGCTATGATGTACTATTTGAAATGTATTTGAAATATTACTGAAATGTTCCAAAAATATGTGGAAAATATTTCAGATATTTTTTTTATATACAGACTATTCGTATTTTTATATTTAGAAACTATTCGTAAATGTCACAGTGTTTGCTGATTTTATTTGAAAATTTTAGATTACTTGATTCCAATGTTACATCCACAGACTTCTATATAATACTAGACTGCTGACTCTCTTATATAGTGCGATATAAAATTGACACCGAAAAGTATGTATTATGCACGGGAAAAAGACATCTGCGCATACCTGAAATTGATGCTCCAGAAGAAGAGATGATACAAATGTAATATAGCCGATGCCACCTGCTTAAATATTTATGTACGTACAGAAAAACGTAGGAATGAAATACGTTACAGTAAAAAATTTGTAAAACAAAGTAATTGATCAATTGTGTACCTACATTAGAGTCCAATAATACCGAGAATAATAACGGGATGCTACATTCCCATGTACCAAAGTTGAAACAACGTTGCTGAGATGTTGTAATATAAATAACGATAATGTTGAATGTTGAAATATAAATATCTTTTCAACGTTGAATCTATATTGTTTCATATTCATTGATTCTTTATGTTGTTACAACATTAAAATAACATTGAACAAATTATTATATTTTGAAATTCAAGTAGATATACTGAAAAGAAGTTTTATATATCCTTTTAAATGACGCATTGAAATTTCTCGAAAATCAAGGATTTCATTGAAAAATGTTTCAAACAATTTGTATAATCTGATGATGTTACTCACTTTAATTTTGCTAAAATCATGTCAAGTTTATATTTAATTTTTTATGTAGAATCATATGGTTCCTTTAAAATAAATCGATTTCCTTAGTTATTCGTATTGAGAGGAAATAATTGAAATGTGAATATTTCCCGAAATATTTTACATTATATCCTGATATTTTTTAGTACAAAATATTTTATTAACTATTATATTAAACTATTATATTAACTGTTCAACAATACTTTAATATTTTGATACGTTGAATAATGAAGAAAATCGATCAATATTCTTAATTTTTGCATACTAGTATTTCAATAAATCTGTAAAAACCAATCTTAGCATACAAAACTACCAACAGTTGTAAAAAAAACTTTCTGACGCTAAATGCGGGCAATATTAACAAGGAGATGACGCCAATTAGGAAATCGCTTTTCCAACGAGTCATAGTGCGTTCGATAGCTTACATGTAGCTAATAAAAACCCTAAAGGCGTTTGTGCCAATGGGTCTTCGTTTAGGAGAAATTACAAAACAAAGTTAGGGTCACGCAACTATGTCCCATGTAAAGAAGAACATTAGAATCTTTTTCGAGTAAGCGGCGTAGCTGAGCCGACTAAGGCTCCCGTCGATACATTTTTGCGCCGGCGGCGTGCGTTCGAGTCCCGCCGACGACTGCTTCGCTTTTTTTTTTTTT